TAATAGAAAACTTGGTGACCTGAAATAGATGCCTAGCATAAAAGCTATTTAAGATAAAGTCAATATATATAGATGTATTAGTAGTTGGTTAGTGCAGCATATATCAAAATTTGGTTACAAGTAAGAGTTGAATAGAGAAGCTGTCAGCAAATGTAATTGTGCAACTCAAAGCTATAGCAGTAGTTTATGTATTTCAATTATTAGAAAAACAATTAAAGAGCTCAGTAATAATATTAATGATAGACAATAGAGTAGCATTAAAAACAGTATAGTATGGAAGACCAAAAAAAATAACAGAAAGACATTACCAGAAAAATTTGAAATATGTGCTTAGAAAAAGATATAAAAATTTTTCAAGTTCATTGGATTCCAAGTGAGAGCAATTTAGCCAATGACTTTATAAGAGTACTAAATCCAGGAGATTGAATATTAAAAATAGAAGTAGTAGAGTAGTTAGAAAAGCATTAAAAAAAGTTTAATATTGACAAATTTGCAAATCATTTGAATTTCAAAATAAAAAAATTTAACAGCCTGTATTTTTGTTCAGATTCAAAAGTAATAAACTGTTTTTTTTAGAATTGAAAAGGACTAATAAACTATCTGTGCCCTCTTTTTGCAATAATTCACAAAGCTTTGGCATATGCCAAAAAATGCCAAACTATAATAGTAATTATTGATTCAGTTTGGGTTGCTATCTCTTGGTGGTCTATAATTACAAAAGCAGTAAAAGAGGAAGTGAATCTTTCTCTGTCTATGAATATAAATTTGCTGGGCCATCAGGTTACCTAGAAGCATGCAACAATGATCAATGAAGGTTAAAAGCAATATGAATAGACTAATTCAAAAATGTCTAATTTATGCTAAATATTTGATTAGAAACTCTATTAGTAAATTATATAATAAACAGTTAGAGAAAGCATATAAAATCTTTTTAGAGTTTTTTATAAAAACAAATAGTTCTTCTTTATCTGCTTCAGGTTTTATAGTTTTAGTTTTTGTTACCTGGATAAAAATGTTAAAATGAGTTTTTAAGCTCATGAATTGCTTAGCATCTATTTTTAGAATCTATAAAATCTTAGGTTTGGGTGATCTAACAAAAAACAATGCAGTCCAGTATGTAATGAATAGCCTCAAAAGGCAGATAGCTCAAGATTCTGAAACAAAATAACCCAGAAACCCTTTGCCTATAGAAGCTTTTAAGTATTATTTAGACTTTTCTCCAGAAGATATTAGTTATAAATTCTGAACTTAGAATTTGACTTTAATATCTCTAAACTTACAATTAATGAGATGATCTGGAGAACTATGCAATTTAAGATTGGAAGATATTAAAATAACAGGTGATTTGTTATAGATAAGAATTAACAAATCTAAGACAGATCAGTTAGCTAAAAGAAAGTTTATTTCTATTGAAGCAATGAATAGCAAATATTATCCTGTAAGAAGGTTAATGAATTATCTAACTATTAGGCCAGTTACTAAAGGTCACATATCATTATTTTTGTCAAAATCAAGAAAAGCAATGTCTGTTTCTGTGATCTCAACAGTAGTTAATGATTTGTGAAATATACTAATTTAGAAGAAAGGTTTATAGCATATAGCTTAAGAATCAGTAAAATTACAACAGCTATGAAAAGTGGATTGTCAATAAAGCAAATTCAGACAATAGGTAGTTGGGTCTCAGATGCAGCTAGATTATATATGAGGGCCATAGAAACTGCTAGTTTGGATATATTAGTAGTTATGGATTTTAGAAAATAATTTATTATGTACTTTAAGAATGTACAAGAGGTTGTCTTGTTAATCTAAAAAAATTTAATGATTTTTGATACTCTGCAAACACCCATTTGTGTTTTCATAATCAAACCCAAAATGAGAGACAAAAAAAATACTGCTCGATATATAAGTATCAAGGCAGTGTTTGTCTCGAATCAACTCAGATTCAAATATATGATTTGCTCTGATTACAGTCACATGTTCAATCATTAATCGATCTAATGATCAATCTAATAATCGATCAAGGTTAAGTAAATATGAGGTAATTGTTTAGTTTAACTATAAGGTAATTAGCTAATAATTATTCAGTATAGTATATGTGAGTAAATTGCATAAGTATGAGGTATTCGATAAGTAATCATATAAGTATATATTAGGATCAATAGGGTATGTAGGTAGGATAATCTTGTTTCTTCTACAAACCTGATATTAATTCTGATTACATCAACCCTACCCTTCCTTACCCCAACATCATACAAGCAAAATTAGAGATAATCAATTTAAATTTTAATATGGTCTGTTGAATGACATTCATATTTGTATATATCCTTTTCATAACCTGTCAGGATGACAGTCAAATATATATATACACAATGTTTTTATGACCTGTTGAGATGACAGTCAATTATGTATACAGTTTCTTGTAATCTGTCAAAATGACAGTCATATATTTAAAAAAAAAAAAAAAAAGAGAGAAGATCGATTCTAAAGAAACTGCGAGGTTTGCTCAATATGCAGGAGAATAAAACCCATTTGTGTTTTTATAATCGAACCCAAAATAAGAGACAAACAATAATTGGTTGACATATTCACATGACTGCAAAATTTTGTTGGCGATCCTGAAGTAGTTGGCCTTTATGTAAGAGTTCAACCCCGATTATACATAATGTAATCCTGGGTTGAGACAGACAAGAAAAGACTCAAAGAGGAGACCAGTACTTATCTATGGACAGAAACCTACCAACCAAATCTAACAGGCCTAGTGATGTACCATTTATATGATACCTGAAAAATTTTAGATACAGTACGTACTGTATGTATAGTTCTTTTCTAGCATCTGATTGGCTGGCAAAAGTGATCAGCAAAAATTTTAGCATACAGTACATATAGTGATGTATGCGACATATCACTAAACATGCCTATTTGACTTAGGCGCTGTAGGCTACATGAGAACTGAAATAGACTTGCCGAAGTTCCGAACGAAAATATATAAGACATATGATACTTTTTACAGATAATTCTAACATTATAACTATTGATATGTTCAATATTTTTAAATCCTCATTTGAATACTTTCCCAACATGCTTAGTGTGTTTAGTTTGTGTGAAAACATATGTGCTGCTGTCAATAGAAATCAAGTAAATCTACATTTGAAAAAAAATTTATGCCTTAACTTTCACAGTTTATTTCTCAATGGATTTTAAAGCTACCTTGATGGTTTAATATTCAAATGAAAGCTTAAATTGTAAGTTTTCTTTTGAAAATTAAACCATTAAGATAGCTTTAAAATCCGCCAAAATATAAGCTGTGAAAGTTAAGGCATTAATTTTTTTTCAAATGTAGATTTGCTTGACGGTAGCCCATATATATATCAAATTACAATGTGATCTATATGTATATAAAGTAATTTATATACGTACCCAATCATACCGACTTCAATAACTTAACTCGATTGACCAAAAAATCATTTGGTCAATTTTTATTTGGTGTTCCAGAAATTATGAAAATAGCTGTAACATCGTAAAATTGAATTTATAATGATTTGAATCATATTGATTTTAAAATTACGGCCCAACATATTAACAAAATTATAGTTCTAATCTGGATAAATCTGTCATCCATTTATCCAAATCCGAATTTATCCAGTATCCATTTACTATTGAAATCGGGATAATCTGACAAATATTCGAATAATTATTAAGATATCAAAAGTCCATAGATAAATAGATAAACGGATAATGGATAGGAACTCTAAACACAATCTGAAAACAAGCCTGCTTTTGTCGATAGAATGAGATTCAAAATAATAATCTTTATGACTTGAAATCCCAAATAATTCGTATATTTTTTTGTGAATCACGAGTTTTCATGAATCCAATCATAACTATATGTTTATATGTCATCGATTTTTTGTGGACTGAATCTGATAAATAATAAATAATAAAGGCTCGATCTCTTATTTTCTTTTAGTAGAACTTATAAAAACTAAAGTAAAACATAAAAATTACTACGAGCTTTAATTCCTACCTAGATTTGAATCTACTTGACATTTTTACTAAGCAAAAAATTTATTAATTGAGCTTTTTTAAAAAAAACGTTTTATGCAAAAGATAATAATTTACATTTGTGATGCTGCAAAAATACTATTTTTGATGCGTTTTAGTCTGAGTATTAAGAGTGCAAATTTTAATTTTCTAAAATTGTTATACATTTATCATTTACAAGTAACGATAATAAAATTTTTAAGTAATTTTGGAGGCACAAGACAGAGAATCTCGATTCGTCAAAATATATAGTATAAATAATATACAAAATTTACTCAATGCAAGAGGCACTGGTGTCTTTCCAATTATCCATATTATAAAGTATAGCCATAGAACATAGAACATAGAACATTTGAATTAATGTCAGAGTTTCGAAATTAATAACTGAATTTTTTGATTTTGAACAAAGTAGATAATTTATTTTAAGCTCCCATTTATTTTAAAAATAAATTATTCTGAAACTTCTTAATATATAACTTCTGTTATGAATACCAATTTGGATGATTGGATTTTGGTGATTTTGAACTTAATCATCTCATTAATGTGGCTATTTTGTAATAAATTAATCCAAAGTTGACTGGTGTACCAAAAGTCATTCACTTCAAAAGTTTGTGTTAACTTTTAAAAAATCAGCTGATACATATGAATATCAATATTGTATGCGTACATACTATTTTATTGTATATCAATAGTTTCCATAACCTATTTCATATTAACAGTCTTGTTCCAGGTTTTTCTTATAAATTAATTTGCCAATTTAAAAGTTTTATAATGATTTTCTAAATTCTTATTCACTAATAGTTTTCTTGATTTTCAGATTGACGAATCAAGTAGTTAGCAATGGCCCAGAAGTAAGAGAATGCCACTGTCTCATCACATATAATGATTCTGTCTATTTATTTGGCAGTCATATTAAATGGAATACATGGGCAATAGGTCCATTTTTTCATGCAGCAAAAATGCCATTTGTAACTTCTTTAATACCATGGGTAGCTCTTGATACTACCAATGCGATTAATGTTTGCGATATGTTATGTATTGTAGAACCTTCAATGGGTTTGCTGTTAGTCATTGGTGGGTTCATAGCAGACAATCCAAATTATAAAGGATTTCAAGTTTACAATTTTAATTCGAATGTTTGGAATGATCAGAATGAATATAAAAATTTAATTGGATATCCTAAGGAAATCGGTATCGGAATTTTCCAACCTCGATCCATTTTGATTAAACCAGGAATTGTACTCATTTGGGGCAGAAAACATTATGATTCTACAACCAGTGTTATTTATAAGCTGAATATGACAGTAACTCCATGGAAATGGGAACCGATATCTTCTAATGTAAGTATTATATTAACTATTAATTATTAACCAACATAATAAATTAAACACTCTATATAGATGACGACTGTCCTAAACTCTGTTGGAATTGCTCATTCAAGATAAAGAGTATTCATTTTTAGTAGAATAGAAAAACTTATTTTTGGGACCAATATATCCTCTTAGTAGCTAGGAGAAGGAACCCCAATGGATTTATCGTATATTTATAATGTTACAGAATCTCAAATTCTTTCATCAGGCTATCAACTTCCTTTTGCTTTTACTCATTCAGTAGTAGATGTTGTTGATGATTCTATATTTATTATTGTGCTTAGCTTTAATGATTATCTTGAGAATAGACAGATGAGTATCATTCCTCTTCATATAGCCCAACAAAAATGTGAATTGTCTTTCTCAACAACTGATAATCTTACTCAAGCTCAACTTCGTGTGGCAGGGGTCCAACCTCCTGGATCAAATGTAATATTGGTAATGAAATTCTCGTTCTGTTTGATATTTGTATTTCATGCGTGCTAGTTATTTACATGATATTAAATTGACAGATATATGGAGGTGTTACTTATTAAAATTCCAGTTTACCTCAGACAGATAATACATCTGACATGATGTTAGTATATAACATGACTCTTCGCTTATGGACGGACACCGTAAATCTTGTGACAGATGCTTCAACCAATAATTTTGCTTTTATTGAAGCAAATTATTCAACTACATTAAATTCTTCAAATCCTTCAAACACTCAGCATCTTCAGTGGCCGAAAGAGGCAATTATTACTACAATTATATTTGACATTATTATGATTGTTGCTATTATTGTTATAATTTATCTAATCAAAAGAGACCATCTAGCAACATTTGCAACATGATTATCCAGAGCTCAACTATCAATGTAAAAAATTTTGTATACTTTAATTTATTTAATGCTAAGTAATCTTATAAAATCACTACAGGTGATCATAACTGCCTATTGTAAAATTTTTTAGACAACTAAGATTAGGGTCAGATAGTATTAGAATTAAAAAAGTCAAATTATATGTAAAATTTTATGCTAAAAACTTTCTTTATCTTAATATCTAATTATAAGCAAGTGAGAAAAAAAAGTTATGTCGTACTATTTTATGTAATTCAGAATGTATATTTTTTATATTTATAAATAGTATTGCTTTTATATAGTAGTCCAAATTATCATAATTTTTCTAATTGATTTGTTGAACCAACCTTTATAATTTATGATTATATGGCAACTTCTTATATCTAATTGGCCGATACATTAAACAGAGATAACTTTTTTGTAATTGATTGCTTACACATATACGTGTAAATCAAATATATTTATATCGATATAATATTATTAGTTTTAATTTATTTTATATGTTGTAATTCGAAACGGAATTTAAGTGGGTTCAGAATTTTTATATGAAACCAGCATTTTGGGGTTGATTTTATTATCTGAACACCCTTACCTAGGAAATTCCAAATCCACCTAAATTCCGATTCCACTTACAACATATAACGTAGAGGAAGTATTCTGGCGGGGGTGGTAATGTGGCGAATAACATATTATTGAAGTTAAACCTTGGTTTATCAACTGGAATTCAATGATTCTTATACTACTTGATTCGTGACTAATAGATTATATGTACGTATACGTAGGGGATGATTGTTACGTACGTACGTATAATGCATACGTATACTGATAATTATTCTCATTTATAGTTAATATTATGTTAATCTGTCGATCCGTCATTTTACCCTTCCAACCGTTAAAGTTACTTCGCACTAATAAAAGTCAGGCAGACACAAGTCAACATAATTTAATAAACGAATAATTATGTTATATCGAAGTAAACTTTGGAATTCGTAGTATTTTAATAAAGTCTTATTATAAGCGAATCTTGATAAATTTTAATTACACCAGAATACCTCCCGCTACCTTATAAGTTATGTTCTAAAATATTGAGTTGTACGTACGTATACAGTATATATTTGATATAATATACAATGAATCTACTGCACTTAATATTAAAAATAGATTTATCAGGAACGGAGTGATGAAATCACCAAGTGTATGGCTTAGTGAAAAAAGTGTGTACGTTGTAAACGTGGAGTCAATTTTATAGCGCTAAAAACTAGTCTAACTAGGGCCACGGTTGAATGGGAACGTTATCGCGGGATACACAAATTCGAATAGAACTCTTCCTTTACACCCTAATTGGAGGCTTCGATTGAGGCATGAATCGATTTGGTCCGAGAGTAGGGTGTCCTTTGAATACTACGGCAGTCACGGGATCGACTCTATAGTTTTCTTACTCTTATTGTTTGAATTTCTTATTAAGTTTATTACTGTTACTGTTCTTAGTTTTCCTATACTAATATTCACTGGTATAGTTTTCTATGGCTCAAGTGCGTCTGGGTTCTAAATGACTTTCGGGTAGCAAATTTCGAGATCACGTATCACGGGTCACGATTCGGGGGCAGTTACGTGTATAAGTTTATTTAACAATAGGGTTAATCACAAACCTAATCAGTTTAATAGTTTCTATATAAAAGGGGTCGATTACTAATAAGACCTTTCTCTCTTTTACTTTTAACGACTAACGATTACGGGTCTTTCAATTGTCACGGGGACAAGACAAATACGATAAAACGAAATACTTTAAACATAGATATAATTATTGGGCACTTAAGAAACTACTTATTTTCTTTTGTAGCCACGAACTCAAGGGGAGTTGTCTTTTATTGCAAACAAACTATCGAACCTTTATATACATTTTTTTTACTAACGATTTTTCTAACATAACTATTCGATCTATCTTATATACTAGGTCCGCTTTTTCTACTATCTCTGCCATTTCTGCTATTGACACGTTCGAAACGGCGAGTCAATCGCTTCTCGATTGGATGCGTCGTGTAACCTACAAGTCGGGCGTAATCGAAGAGGCGTGTTATATTTGGCGGGTAGATGATTTATGATTGTAGGTATTATTATTACATAATGAAAGCAGGATATTATTATTAGAGGACAAATTTTATTTGGATCACGAACGATGAATGTTTTTTTCGTAGGGTTCGAAGCCTTTATTATATACTTTCTTTTACATAAGGCACGTTATACACTCTATTCGTGATATAGCACTTATATTCGTTATCCCGTATATACTAACTAGGTAATGCGTGTCCGAAGCCTAACACATGATAATCAGCATGCTACACAAACGCGAAATAAGCATGTTAATGTTACATTAAAGTACAATTATAGGCACGCGTGCGGACACACAAAAAACTTCCAAATTGCGTTTCTGTGAATTTCATAATTTTTATGTCGGTGCATCAAAAAGGTACCTTTTTTTGAGCCAAGTGCATCAAAAACGTACTTTTGTATCACATGCCGAATAATTTAGTTTATACGGATTATTTTAAATATATACTTGATCCCACTGATTCCCCTTATCACACTGATATACATTATCAACCCAACACTAAGTATACAATGAATACAGTGTATACTGCCGGCAAACCCATTTTAGGGGGTCGTCTAAAGCCAGGTGCGCTCACGTGACTAATAGCCAATCAAATTGTAACATGTGATCTTCCCGGGTTTTTCGGGTCGGATCCAGGTTTTTCAGTTTTGGGTCTCATATGTGACTCGAACCGTCCCGTGAGGAACAGTGGTTGTAATTAAAATTCTCTAAGTTCAAATGGTAAACTATTAGCAAATGTCGGCCAAGCATTTTGTCTTAATGCTAGCCAAAATTAATAGTAAAGCAACTTTAAGTTGAATTTTCGTTCATCATTATCTCTTTATGTTCTACATAATTGTTGGCATGGTGAATGTTCGGGTGTTACAGTACACTATATATTTATTTCAACGCCTGTCACAGAAAATTAATCAAAACATTTCCCTTAACGTGACTTAATCCTAACCCTAAATATTTCATTACACCTGATCTTTCGATCTAATTGGATAAAAATCATGAGGGAGGGGGGTTGTAAGAGAGCTACATCCATGTTTTAACCTTAAACGGCAGTATTCATAGATTCATATGATAAGTACTAACCTGCTTATGCATATACTCTATAGTTCATGACACTATCTTTCTAAATTTTCACCTAATCTAACAATATTCACGTATTCCTTTCATTACGTTCTGAGAAATAGTTATCATTCTCAAATTTCCAACTCGGCTCTGCCTCAAGTTCGGATCTCAACTTTAGATAAGAATCATTTTATGCTAATTTCTGCTTTCGCAATGAAGTTACCGATTTAGGCACACTAACTAAGATTAATCCCTGAAATTTTCAACTTCAAGCATGACATTACAATTTCGGCGAAATGGTATTTCAGAAAAATGGACTTCAGGAAGGTGAGCAACAATCATTTTGTAGTTTTCATAACTTATAGCGAGCTTTTATTGAATATTTATCAATTTAAAAATCAATAAAAGTGAAAATGGGTTGTTTTAATACGTAACACCCGTATATGAAATGGATTCCGTTCATTTCATCGACAATCAGTTCACCGACAGTGATAATCAATTTACCAATAATCAATTCACCGACATACGATTCGCCAACAGTCATTTCACCGACAAATTACTTCTGGGCATTGCCTTTATGGTCAGCTTATAATTAGAGTTTAGTGTAATTTATAAAAAAAAAAAACTTGTCGGTGAAATGAACCAGAACCTATCAAACCAAAATTGTTTTTACTTAAGAACTGTGGTTACAATGAATAAGCGTAAAACCTTTATATTCTATCGAAATAATTTTTCCTTTTACGCCTAGGTAAATACAATGTGTTTGTTAAATTCCGCTCCTGGTTATACGTGTTGATGTCGCGCAGCTATCAATGGAAGTTTCAGAATTAATAACTGGGTTTTTGATTTTGAATAAAATAGATGATCTATTTTAAGCTCCCACTTTTTTAAAAAATAGAAATAAGGCAGATTGACATTTGAAAAAAAAAAATCACCTTAACTTTCATGGCCCATATCTCGATGGATTTTGATACTATCTTGATGATTAAATATTCAAAAGAAAGCTTATATCGTAAGCTTTCTTTTGACCATTAAATCATAGAGATAGTATCAAAATCCATCGAGATATGGGCCATGAAAGTTAAGGTGATTTTTTTTTTTCAAATGTCAACCTGCCTTATTTCTATTGACGGCTGCCCATATACTGTAACTTCTGTAATGAATACCAATTTGGATGATTGGATTTTGGCAATTTGAGCTCAATAGTCTCATTAATGCAGTCATTTTGTGATAATTAATCAAAATGGACTGATGTATCAAAACTTATTCACTTCAAAGTTTGTGTTCATTTTTAAAAAATCAGCTAATATGAATATCAATATTGTATGCATACTATTTTATTGTATATTAATAGTTTTCAGAACCTATTTCATATTAACTGTCTTGTTTTAGGTTTTCCTTATAAATTACATTTGCTAACTTATAAGTTTATAATGATCTTTCTAAATTCTTATTCACTATTAATTTTCTTGATTCTCAGATTGACGAATCAAATAGTCAGTGATAGCCCAGGAGTAAGGGAATGTCACTGTCTCATCACATATAATGATTCCGTCTATTTATTTGTGGTCATGTTAAATGGAATACATGGGCAATAGGTCCATTTTTCATGCAACGAAAATGCCATTTGTAATTTCTTCAATACTATGGGTAGCCCTTGATACTACCAATGCAATTAATGTTTGCGATATGTCATGTATTGTAGAACCTTCAATGGGTTTACTATTAGTGATTGGTGGGTCCATGGTGGCAATTCGAAATTATAAAGGATTTCAAGTTTACAATTTTAACTCGAATGTTTGGAATGATTGGAACGAATATAAAATTTTAATTGGATATCCTAAGGAAATCGGTATCAGAATTTTCCAACCTCGATCCATTTTGATCGAATTGGGAATTGTACTCATCTGGGGTGGAAAACGTTATAATTCTACTAGTCATGTTATTTATAGGTTAAATATGAAAGTAATGCCATGGAAATGGGAACCGATCTCTTATAATGTAAGTATTATATTAACTATAATTATTGACCATTAAACAAACGTAATAAATTGATTACTCTATATAGATGATGACTGTTCTAAACTCTGTTGGAATTGCTCGTTCAAGGGAAAGAGTGTTCATTTTCGGTGACATAGAAAAACTTCATACAGTCAATCCAATTCAAGAAGAAGGGCTCCTGATGGATTTATTATATATTTATAATATTACAGAATCTCAAATTCTTTTACCAGGATACCAACTTTCTTTTGCTTTTACTCATTCAGTAGTAGGTGTTGTTGGCGATTATATGTTTATTATTGTACTTAGCTTTAATGATTATCTTGAGAATAGACAGATGGGTATCGTGCAGCAGGTGTTCAACCTCCTGGATCAGATGTAGTATTGGTAAATAGAATTCTCATTCTGTTTGATATTTGTATTTCGTGTTAGTTATTTACATGATATTAAATTGACAGATATATGGAGGTGTTACTTATCAAAATTCCAGTTTGCCTCAGACAGGTAATACATCTGACATGATGTTAGTATATAACATGATTCTTCGTTTATGGATGGACACTGTAAATCTTGTGACAGATGTTTCAACCAATAATTTTGCTTTTTTGGCAGAAAGTTATCTATCTACATTAAATCCTTTAAACCCTTCAATAACTAATTGTACTTCAAATCCTCAACATCTTTATTGGCCAATAGAGGCAATTATTATTGCACTTATACTTGGCACTATTATAATTGGTTGCATTATTGTTATAATTTATCTAATCAAAAGACAGACCCTCTAGCAACATTTGCAACATGATTATCTGGAGCTCAACTATCAATGTAAAAAATTTTGTAAACTTTAATTTATTTAACACTAAGTAATTTTATAAAATCACTACAGGTGATCATAACCGCCTATTGTAAATTTTTTTAGACAACTAAGATTATGGTCAGATAGTATTAGAATTAAAAAAGTCAAATTATATATAAAATTTTATGCTAAACACTTTCTTTATCTTAATATCTAAATATAAGCTGTCATATAAAATTAAAAAAAAAGTTATGTCATGCTATTTTATGCAAATCGGAATATTTTTTTTTTATTTTTATAAATCATATTGCTTTTATATAGTAGTCCAAATTATCATAATTTTTCTAATTGATTTGTTGAACCAACGTTTATAAATTAGGCCGTTCGAAGTTGATTCTTCAGTTAACATCAACTCCTCTCCTCCTTCCTCCAAGAAATGAACAACAAATCAAAATGCTGGATAACTCTCACCAATCTCTTAATTTACATCGACCAATCAAATTGTCACATTTTTTTCATTCTATATGTTTGTCTAATTTTATCTCCTTCTAAGAGTTCTAAAAGTGATGTTAACTGAAAATTCAATTGCAAGTGGCCTTATAATTATATGGCAACTTCTTATATCAATTGGCCGATACATTAAACAGAGATAACTTTTTTATAATTGATTGATTACACGCATACATGTAAATCAAATATTCGAGAATCATATGTATAATACTGACCAGTTATAATAATCTTGATATATAATATTAGTGTTAATTTATTTTATATGTTGTGGTTTTTACTATATCGCCTATAATATGTTTGTCAGTTATATTGAATGGAAGACCCGCCACCTTCAAATGACATATATATAAACTGTCAGACATTTTCGTTTCCTTAATTGTCTATTTTTACAATTCATAACTTTCACATTATTGACATATGATTTGATCTATTAAAATTCCATTAACGAAAATGTTTTCTTATAGAACTTAAATAATGAGGGAATCTGGTACATTGTTTATGTTCACTAATTTTTCTACTTATTAACGGATTAATGTCTGAGATAAAAACTAAAATAAAAAGTTGTCAGTAACATTATTAATAAAGTTATATATATCTGTGTACAAGTCAATGAAATTTTTTTCACAATATAATCTAAAAAATTTTTACCCAATATCTGATATTTTATCTTGGGCATGCCTTTTAAAAGTTTAATTGTCTCCTTTGATGATATTACCAATATAAGTTTTCAAACTTGTTGTCTACATATTAGGATTATTGTCTCATATAGTTAACATCTTCTTAGCAAGTTTCTCTCTTATTTCTTTTGTTAAATCTTTAATGTTCTATTGAATGACATAATGTTGAATATATCTTTCATGTAAAAAAAAAACAATACACATATTAGAATGTCTTCTATTTGTAAAGATAACATAAATAAACAACTCTGTTGAAACTTCACTTTTTTAAGCAGTCTTTTGTCAAGTGTAGTTTTGAATATACCAAGTAACTGCCTTCTGCTTTTTAAAATAATTATGAACATTTTGTATAGATATGTCACAATGAAATTCATAATAAAAGTTAAGGTTTATGTTTTATTATGAAACACTTATGTATACAACTTTTTGATTATAAGTATTATTTGAAATTTGATGATGTATTAAAAAAGTCATTGGAATTTTGAACCCATGACCCATTAGATCAAAACAACAAGTGGAATGTATCTGATCCAAAGTGAATCCTACACATAGTGAATATAAAGCAAATTGGATTTTATTGATTATAAAAAGATTATTATTTATGTTGAGCATTATTGTTTTATAATATATAAACAATTCATCATTAAAAAAATTTTTAATAAAAAAAAATAGAAATAACATGTATACCTAAAACTTAAACTCTATTTTACTATATAATAAAATAAGATTCAAATAGATTTAGTAGAAATAGGATTTAAATAAAAAGTAAAAAATTTTAGAGTATCAATAGTTGAAATACTATAATAGTGGTAATTCACTGAACTTCTAACCAATTTATTTTATGAAAGCTTATTATTCACTAAGTACTAACTTAGTTAATTGCATTTAGAAAGACTACATGTATGTTTTGGTTTTTATCTAGATTTATCTTTTCTATTGTATCATTATTCTCATCTGAGGTTTTTTCAAAATCTTTTTTTATTTTAAGATAAGAATACTGGGACCTTTTTCTAATCTTTTTATAAAAGATTTAATATTACTAAAAATTCTGTGTTTGTAATATTCTTCACAATAATGACAACTGTAATTTATAAGTTGATAGTACTCAAAATAGTAACCATATTCACAAGCTAGTATTTCATCATTATCAAGTTTTTTAAAACAATAGTTACATGCATCTGGTAATGGTGGTATACTAGTACTATATGGTGTAAAAAGACATTTTGAGTCTACAGTTTCTTCTAGAGTTACTAACTTATATTTATCTTGTTTACAGAACTTATTTTTCTTATGATTTATAAAAATTTTATAAAAATATTCTAACAAAAATAATGTTAATTTTTCTGTTAGAAAGTCTAATATTGACAGCTTATAAGAATACTGTCTTGTTTTTTCAAATACATTTTTGAGTTTACTATAATCTTGAGAATCTAATAAAAAATGATTAATAAAATTACAATTCTATACTAGAATCTTATTATGCTTGAATTATAAGTAATAGTTATATACTAGGTTCTACAAATATAAGTAGAAATAAAATTTCTGCTTATATTCATAGAACTCAGTATATAATTAATTTATATTTTATGATTTTGATATAGTGATCAGGATATAACAAATGTTAGTATTATAGCAGAAACTTGTAAATTAAAACCTACTAATAATATAAGTCTGCCTAACAATATTATCTGCATTACTATTAGTAAAAGTATAGGATTGCAATTTACTATTTATATTTTTGATATAATAATCATTAAAATATACTAAAAATAATTTTATAACTTTTGCAAATAGATGATTAGTATCTTGCCAATAGAAGGGATCTAAAAGAAATACTAATAGTGCTTTGTTATAGTTTTTTTGTTTCTATCTAAGAGCAAATATCCAAATTCAAAAAATAGTTTCTATGTATTTATCAAACAAATCAGATCAGAAAAAAATAGCATAAATATTTAATGTTGTCAGAATTATGTTATCTAACAAGTCAATGACCATACAATATTCTATATCTTTGCAAATAGTTCTAAATTTTTTTATTATTATATTTCTTATTTTACACTATCTATTATAAGCCAAATCAAAAAGCAAGTTAATTTTTTATGATTTTGACTTTTAGCTAATTTTTTTTTCTTCAAATACAGAGTAAAGTAACTTATTAAAAAAAATATAATAAGTTATTAAGGATAGAGAGTACATGGATCATTTTTATATAAGTTTATATGATATTTTGAAATTTTCATATAAAATTGAAATATACTACTTATAAAACTTTTTAAAATTACAACTAATTTTTATTAAAATTTCATAAAATATAAATAAAATAATTTATCTATTATGGTAAAATTTTGAACTATTTTTATATTTAAAAAATATATACATATATATATCACAAAGTTTTTTTAGAACAGCTTAAAATTTTCTAAATAGTACAAAAATACTAAATTTTATTGGTTAATTTACATAACCCTATAAGTTAATTTAATTAATAAATTTTTATACTTAATTTTTAAAAAGTAATATCTTACTAAGTTTTTAATCAACTTTAATAATTTTACTATCATTAAAATCAAAAAGACCTGCTCTACAAACTTTTATTATAAATTAATATTTTTTTTTTTTTTTTTTTAACTTTGGCAGCCTTGCCAGTCACCTTTATTAAGTAATTCTAAATACAAAATTATGT